TTCAACGGGTTTTCTTGTTGTGAATCGCCCGACCACAAATATTCCAAATGTCTATAAACGAACAACCTAGGAAATAACTCATTAGAGGCATTATAAAGTAATAGCAGTTGACATTAAGGTTAAAATCATGCGGCAAATTGGCTTTGAATGGTGTTAGTTATTTATATCTCGGTGCCACAATAACACAATTTTAAATTAAACCATACCATGCCCTGTTTTGACTCAGTTTAAAATGAAATTTTTACTATTTGGATTTTTTTTACTTAATATTTAGTTCTTCAAAAGAGAACTGTCTAGTAATACAAAGAAGTAGGACAAACTATGGCTTTTGAAAAATTTACCCATTCACAAGTAAACTGAATTCGAAGAGCATGTTTTCCAGATTATTAAAAGAAAAACTTATAAAGAAAGCAAATGTTCTGCAGAAGTCGTTTATAGTTTTCCAACAAAATGTGGTTTACTTTTAGTGCAGTAGGGACATGTTCATAGACTTAGGAGAGTCATATAAATATATTAAACTTAAATGCTGTAGTTATGGGCCATAACAGTACAATCAAGTTGCAGTTTGTAACATTTTTATACAGCCAAAACACCATGCGTTCCACATAAAAATCTTTCATCTGTTGGAGGACATAAATCTTTAAAGTCGATCTAAGAACTGATTATGTAAAATTAACGACATCCAGCTAGGCAGAATTTGAACAGCAACAACAAATAATATAATCAGTCCAAACTTAACATTGCATTAATATGATTAAAAGAAATAGAAGCTGTTAACCCGAGGCAATTATAGAATTACATAATCCTGAGTCATTGTTAATTGCATCAAGTGCTTGGCCTTTCTCGTGTCTGTTCTAAACTGAAAGACTGTTTGATTGCCCGCTGGCTTGTCTGTGGTGAAAGCTTTGTTTCGACGAATTAACCGGAAGACTAAACCACCCGATGAATTGGGTCAATACAATAATTACAGTCTGTAGATTAGGTTGCAAGATGGTTCTTGTTTTAGCTTAATATGTTTTGCTTTACTGGGCACAACCAGACCAAACTACCACTATTCAATCATCCCAAAACACCTAACATTCAATTAGCATAATATTATACAAATGACCCACTACTATTACACGATTAGCTGTGACCTTTATACATGAAAAATAGATGGGTGGTCGCAAGCGCCTCTGGAATCGCTTTGATTATCTGATGGTTTTCACTTCGAAAACCTCTTACCTCGAATATCATTAATCGGTATCACACAGCTTGAACTTTTAAACACATTCCCCGCCTGCTTATTCACTCCAACCATGTCCGAGATTTGCTGTAATAGGCCCGATGTGCCTGAACCGTCTTTTAATTGGGTCTCAATGATTCTTTCTAGTTCCTAAAACAACATCTTAAATTAGCCAATGACAAAATAAGCTGAATTTTTTGTGAGTGATTGAAAATTTGCGTCATTGATCTTCTTGACGAGGTCAAAAAATTATCTTTAGGCCGATGCGAACATTCTGTCATGCCTTTTCGCACCTCTTGTCTAAATTAATAAGAAATGTTACATGAACACCAGCTTAAAACTTATGATTATAAAACATCGCTTTTCCAAAAGCTAGAGTGCGTATCGTTCAGCGTAAAAATGTGTTCTCCATAAAGGTTTCGTTAAAAAATGTTCGTTCCTTCTATTGAGGCGTCGTAAATCGATTCGAATTGTCTGCTTTTTAATTATCAAACCATTGTTTAAGAATGCTTAATTTCTTCCGATAACTTCTCAAAATAATAATTGTATGATCTATATCTGTTTTTCAAACGAAAACTAAAACACGCAATTTCAAAAAATATTGATTTCTCTTGATTGACCAATTCTACTCAATGGAAGAGCGAATTCAGAAAACTATACTTTTGTGTCACAGTTACTAATTTTTCCAATTCGCCTTGTTGAATAGCAATGTTTCATATGCTGCATATTATTTATTAATAATGGTTAATATTACCTCGCGAAATAACTTGCTATTCATGATTAATTCGACTCTTTTCCTTCGTTCCATTTCTCGGACGTCCGCGTCGATGTCTGCTGGACGCATTCGAGCCCTTTCTTCATCGTCCAGTAAACCGTTGTCCACAATGCCGTTTGTTTGCGGCGGCAACTCATCCGCCGTACTGCTATCCGTCATTTTTGCAAAATTAACCAATCTGGAAATACAAGTTAAATTAATAATAAATTGTTAAAATAATCATTGAAATAAAACAACATGTAAAAGCTTAATTGGCTTATAAAAAATGCAAAATCCTTCATTTTATTTTGCTCATTGTTTATGCAGTAGGGATAATGAAATAAAAATACACAAAAAATTTAAACCCACCATATGTTTGTTAATATTTTAAATTGTTTCAACAGTAGTTTTCAATATCAACTGTCTCCCTGCTGCAAACTGAAATGAGCCAGTTTCCGAAACTACAGTCGTTTTTGAACCGTTTTTTAATCCGTTTCAGATGTTTCTGACTTCCAAAAATTGATTGTGGCAATGAAGCACCAATATAGTAAACAAAACCGTATAAAAAAACAGAGAAGTTGTTTTTTTGTGTGGATGAATTAAGTACTGTTGTCTTTTAATAAATTTTCATTCTTAGTTGCTGCAATAATACATTGTTTCTTGACTTTAAGTAATGATTGATCTGTTTTATTATGGGCGTAGTCTAAACAATGAACTTTCCTAATCTATAAGAAATCTTACGTACGCTTGATTTTTTTAGATTGTAACTAAGTAAACCAATTAACAAAAAAACCGGTTTGTCTCTCCGTCATTTCTGCACAAATACAATAACACAAATCATTGAATATGCGATTCCAATCTAAATCGATGATGAAGTAACCCGTTACATCGTGATAGAGCATCTGAACAACTATTTAAATGCGAATTGTTCAAAACTATATTATAGGATTCAGTCTGATTATTTATTTTGTAATTTAGTAAGCACTTTACTGTTAGTCACACAAGAACCTTTATATAAAACTAATTACCGAATACATGTATTCACTTATAAATAAATTACCGTGGTTAAAAAATAACTCACAGAAACAGAAACTCGCGAAAAATTTGTCAGTGCTCAATGATCGTAAAAATTAAAGTGCAAGCTGCAAAATACCGATTTAAAACAAGTTGAACATTTATACACCCATTTAAAAAATAAACATCGAGTGCAGTATGTCCATACCGACCAAACCGACCGCAAATAAGAAAACCAAGCCTGACAATTCGATTTTCAATACATATTTTTATAATTATAGTTAGCAGCAGCATAAAGAAGTCAAAAAAGTTGGCCGTTATTTTAACGCACGGTTGTGCCTTACAGAAAGTGTCGGTCATGAACAGGCTTTTAAGAACAAAAAATAGTCACTTTAGCTTCGCTAGATTATCGATCATATTAGGGACGATACTATGATTTATTTTTTGGGATTAAAGCGTTGCAATTGCCATTATTTTAGATCTTTACAAACTGCACTGAGTAAACGTATTCCACACTCATAACAGAATTAAATAAAAACTAATAATCATATTGCATACTTTCTGGGTCAACAATAAACGCAAACCAACAGTTAAACAGACAAATGTCCATTTTGGTAAACGGTTGGTTATGGCAAAATAAAAATTATTTCTCCAATTTGGTTAGCAGTAAAAAACCAAGCGAACAACTGCTAAACTGTTAGTCATTGGCTTAATCGTTAAACTTCTCAAGCATGAGCGAGTAGTAAAATTACATGAAATGAGATTTGTTTACTTGTTAAAATGGCCTTTGTTTCAATGCAGGACGACAAAATCTTCGGTTCGCTGCCTCCGAGCTTCACATTAATTTGGAAAAAAATATTATTTCAAAATGCAGAACCTGGATGTAATAAGCTTGGAAAACAGTTCGTAACTAAAGTTCAAGTCATACATTAGAAACTTCACTCAACTCTATAGTTTTGAAAATACCAAAACGTATTTAAATTTTTAGCTGAAGTTGGTCTAAGCCAACAGGAAATTATAAGATAGGCCTCCGATATTTCCTGATTTGCCTCCAGTTGAATCAGACGAAACTACGGAAGACAATGAAAACATTCTATTTCCAAATAACACCGCCCCTTTGCCCCATTTTCTATTTAAAAAAATGTATCCTTAATCACCTTTTCCATTATCCTATAAAATAATCTGGTGACGAACCGTGTCTCAATCACCAGCAAATAATTTTAAAAAACTGTAGCTCACGATTTCAAATACCACTTTGTAAGCGACTAATCTTATCATTAAATCGTGTACAAATTAAAGTAATCGCGTGATATGCACCTTCTTTTAAATTGCATAAACAATAAAACGTGAAGAAACAGGTAAACGGTAAATTAGCCGCAGATAAGATGCTCCAATAACGCAGCCAAGATAAATGCATTTCTTTTAACTGTTTACCCCAAATATTAGGATTTTGAAAATGGTAACGACCTTGCAATCTATTTATAGAACAGTCTAGCAATCTGATTTGAAAAAACATACAAAGACTTAAAAATAAAACTGACTTTGAAAGATCAACTGCATCTATTCTTGATGAAGGCTTGTGAAATGGAGCTTCGGCATGTTAAACTTGTAGCTCGTTTTAATGAACGATGGAAACTTTTCAGAACTTCCGGTGCGTCTTTAGACAATTTATTAATTCAGGCGTGCTACTTAGAAAATAGAAGAGGCGAAAAGACCCATTTTGTGTAACGTAGGTAAAGTAAGAACAAACAGGAAATCGATATAAAAAAAATTGAAATGGCTGTTAAGAAATCAATAGCACCCAACCCTCAAAGTGTCAACCCCTGCAAACATATGAATATATTCATTTAATTCTAAACGCGATCGATAGCAATACCCAATGTCTTCCTTAGAACGTACGGGATCTAGTTAATTGAGGACACAGACAATGAGGACATGAGGAGCTAGAACACAGCGACATGATTTATGAAACACAACTCTATCAATAAAGTTTCCAATTTCGTATCAGGGTGGTTTTCGCCCTCACAAAATCCAGGCTTTTAGGCGCCAATCCTCGGCTCGACTGGGGTATCGACCGTTTGAAAATGGAATTCAAGCAACATGTGGAGGTCGATGCCTTGGGCAGAATCGTAAAGAACAACGAAACTCTTTTACGATGAGAACGAAAAACAGMTCATCGTTAAACCGGTTTTCTTCAATCAAAAAATAAGCCTGCTCAMAAAAATCTGTTACCTGCAATTAAAAATGTTTTTTTTTGCATTAGAAGCCTGATGATCAAATGAGAACCGCCGAAKATTATAGAGATGAAGCAATTGTGCAAGKAATATACCTTTGATTGCTACTAAACTATTGTTAGGTAATTATTTCCGCACTAGTAATAGAATCACATCAGTAGTGAAAGTTTTTTAGCAATCTAAAAAAATCTAAAAAGCCTAACAAAAACATGAAATAAAATGTAAATTATTGACTATTTTCGTATGCCCGTTAATTCCTACTTTTTTGTAAAGCCAAAACAATCATCTGCCGGCAATTAAATTGTAATCCTCTCAAATTATAGTACGCAAAATCAAATAAACTGGCAATATGCAGGTCATAAAACTTGCAAAAGCTTTTATTTAATGCGTTGGGCAGTGTCTTTAACAGCTGAACATAGGAATAACCACCATATGGTCAACGAAAAACAACATTAATGTATATTTGTAATGCATTTCGCGCGGTTAATCTTATCCCAGATGCACTGAAGATGTCAACGGTACATTCTAGATTTGAAGAATATATTTATGTATTAAACTTGAAAATTAATGACATGGAAAATTGATAACAGTAATGCAACATGAATTATGTGATTGTTTGAAAAATGTTCTTGCCACTTAAAAAAATGTTTTATTCATTTTTCATCAGTTTTAATTTGTGTTATCTGTTCGTTTTAAAATGTACAGAAGATGGTTGGAAAAAGGCTCGGTGCTAATGAAAGGAATAAATTGTCAAATCTATATTTAAAAAAAGGCATTTCGGGCTAATCTGCCCATCTTATCTCATTTCATCATCGTATTTAGGTAATAAATTGCTAATTTGTAATCAATTAACTAATACTTCAGGATTTTCCTTGTAACTTTTCTGAGGATTCGCTAATCCAGGTGCATTTGCAATATAATTTTTCGACCCACAAACGATAACCAAAAGCAAACTGCTAGAAGAGTTGTAGGTACTATATTGAAAAGAATTTTAGTTTTTTTCATTCTTTTTTTCATATTTTAGTTGAAAGATTTTTAGTTTTATTAATCCCTAAGTCTTAAACATCTACTAGAAGAAAAATCATACAACATGATAACGAGTTGAATTGCACTGGCAAAGGCGTTGCGCAAGCATTGGGTTAAACAATTAAAAATTAAAAAGGTAACTTAAAAAAACTTGCAAGATCGGAAGTCGGGTGCAACAATGAACTTGTTTGCTTTATTAGCCATTAAATACTCATTTTGTGCTGGTCGGTAGGAAACATTGCGTGAAACGCTAACAGAAAACAATTAAAGCAAATCATCAGTTCCTTTAAACGTTCGTTCTCAGGCCCTAATATTTACAAAAGACTCATTTGGTATATGCATTCAAGTCGCACGAATTCCGTTGAAATAAATGTACATGTGTATTATGTATGTGGTCAATTTGAAGCAACTTTTCAAACAGCAAACCCTCTACGACGAAAAATGATCGATTAAAGGCCGAAGTCATTGAACTTTCAAACAAGACTAGCAATTATCACTTCGAAACATAATCAACAGACGAGCCTATACCTCACTATCTCGAGGCTGTATAAATACTGTATTATTTCATAGAACGACCAGTTGGGCAACGATTCATTTAACTATCGTTTATCCATACAGGGAGTGTCGTAATTAACTGATAGAAATACAAGAGTAAGGATTCTAATCGCTGTAATTACCTAAAACAGCAAAAAAACTTTAGTGGTAAGGGAATTAAATATTAATGCCTTCCAAGGGGTAAATGTAGCTGCTTGGAAAGGCGAAAAGCACTGAAGGACATTGAGAAGAACAAAATAGTTATTAATGAAATATTTGTCTGTTTTCTAAATTATTTTAGGTTGATGAAAACTTTGGAACTCGCCAACAATTTTTTTAACAAATAAAACATAATTTTCAGCATCAAACGAACTTACTATCATCGTCTCTT